AGCGGCACTGCAGCGGGGTGCTAACTGGGAAGCGTGTTCACTCTCTCGTAGACACACACATGTTTGTGTGTATATATACGCATCATATATGTACACACACACACATATAAACTCACCAGAACAGTTTTCTAAAATTGCATTCTTTGCCTCTCGTTGAAATGCAGACAACTGGCCTCTTGTCAGGTAGTATTTGCTCTTCCTGAAGCATGATACCGAAGGCAGAAAAGTAATAAGGAGATCCAAAATAAAAACTGAAAATAACAAAACGTATTTCAGGACACTTAAAATAGGCCTGGAATTCCTGATCTTTAGCAGGAAAAAAAAGAATAAAGAGGGAAGACCTGGTCACGGGGCTAAGGAGGATGGTGAGGCTAATCAATTCACTGATCAAAAAACAAGATTCAGAGAGCAGCTATGAAAATGGTGAAAATAATGATGACAGAAGAGAAAATGGCAAGGATGATTGGGGGGGGGGGGAACTGAAGAACTTAAATCCCAGATACTGCACATATGTCTTCAAAAGTTTGAGCAGTTATGATTCTTATGTTTTTCAAGAAATAGGGTTGAATGCCAGAAAGCTGATCTATTGTTTTTCTTAGTTGAACTCCTTAAACTTGTCATTTGGTAGGTTTTTTTTTTTAAAGTAGTGCTTTTGAAATTGTGTATTTTTAGCAGCTTTTTTAGATGCTATGTGGTATTTCAGAGTTGGTTTTAAATACGTGCTGGCAAGCCAGGGCGATATAAAGCACTGCCCACACACATAACTTAGTTATGTGGCTGTGACAAGGCTTTTGATTTAAAAAAAAATTTAAGCAAACCATACTGTAGGTGAACCTTCTAGGAAAGGGACTCAGTGAAAGACCCTGAGGTGTACTCTAAGTATATGTGCACTGAGAAACTTGGGAGAGTTCTGTCTAGAAGTGTGGCTCTTAATTCCCAAGTAGAAACTCAGGCTTCTGGAAAGGGGGGAGATTGGCATCACCCCTGCTCCCCCCTCCACACCCCCAAAAACTCCAGGCAATTATTCAGTATTGTGTGCAAGCCTTTCAGCTGCCTGACACTGTTTGTGTAGCATGTATTGAGGAAGTTCTGCCTTCCTTTCGGAAGGTACCTGCTTAACAGCTACCTTAGGAAAGTCTGAACAAACTTACTCTAAATAGCTCTTTGAGTGTTTAGTGAAAGTCAGCTGACTCTTCTCTCCTCTCAGGATAAACAGACTGTTAAAGAATTGAGAACGATATAGGCTTGGTATTGGCATACTGATGTATAAAATGTGGCATATGAACATCTGCCAGCCTTTTAGTTGCTGAGTTAGCTTGTGAAATACCAGGGAATAGCTCGCTGGCTCCTCACATGGGTATATTCTAAAATCTGAATAGTCCGTTACAAAATGCTGTACACCTGAGCTGTGCTGCTCACTTTTAACCTGTTTTAAATTAAAAAGTTTTGCTCTTGTTCCTGAGTGGGAAAGCTGTGCCAGTACACACGCACTGGCATTTGAAGATCCTTCCCATATACCAATAGGGCGTGCTAGTTTTGAAAGCACTCGAAAGGGAGGAGAGATGATGACCAAAGGAAAGACAGAACATGATGTAAACTGATTAATAAGGATGTCGAAAAGGATTGGTGTTTGCTTAGTAATGAGGTGTGCGGGTAACCTCCCCAAGGTGTTCCTCTGTCTGCAGGAAGTCACAGGGAGGAGACTCCAGCACAGTCTTTGGAGATCAGAAGGGAACCGCAGAGTGCTGACTGCGGGGAGAACAGCAGGAGCGTCATAGGCTCTCTGCGGCTGAGGGGTTTGAAGTAAGTTCAAGTGGCTCTAATAGCTGTGGAGGAGCGAGAGGAGGCAGTGCTGGTGTGATGAATAGGAACTATCTGGTAAACATGAGTGGCTGCCAAGTCAGATGACTGAGCAAGAGGACTAGAGCACTCTGAGGAGAGCGGGACACCAGGTTAGCTAAAGAGAGCTGAGTCATATAGGCAGGAGGAGAACAAGAGCAACAGGTTGAGGAAAAAAGCAGGATGGGATTGTGAAACAGAAAGCCAGTAGGAGTACTGTTGGGTGACAGGTAATTATTCTGGGATGTGGTAATATCTTCCTTGGATCAGGAGGAGGGAACAGAGAAAACAAGGTGGGAATTTCTTACTTGCGAGTTTCTCCTTCAGACTATTGCTTGAGAATCTAGGCAGGCTTGAGTATTATTACGGCTTCAAGAAGAGCCTTCCAGTCCTGGACACCAAGGAAAGCGGTATTTTTCTATTTCGTAAAGAACTGATAGCAGGAAACCCCGTTTTCCCTGTAGGAGACCTAAGTGGTGTTAGGATTGACAGCTTGGAAAAAGAATCGAGTCGTGGTGCCAGCTGTATAAAGGAATCACCAGTGATAAACTAGGAAGACCACATATCTTAACAGTGGAAAGTCCCTTAAGGAAGATAGGGCCACCACAGTTTTGAATACTAGATACGTTATCTAATGTCTGTTTTCAGATACAGTAGACAATAGTTTTGTGACTTCTAACTGGTGGACAGTTAGAGGGCATATGAAAATAAGAAGGGCAAACTGACTGCAAACACAAGACACTGTTGAAACATCTGCATTTGTCAGAAGTTTAAGAGGTTTACACATTGAAAGGCATTGACATAGGAGAAATTTCATAGTTAATATAAGCAGCATTAAATGTTTTTTTATTCTAGAGAGTGGTTTTACTGATTGCTACAAGCAACTGGCCCTTCCGGGAAATATCAATATTTACAAATGAATAACCTGTTCTGAGATCAGTTTATATTTGTAGGAAGTGTTTAGGTAATGCTTACATACTTAGAATCAATTCAGTGTTTACAGCGTTATCTCTCAGTCTTTGCTGTGATGAGGAGCCCCAACTGTCATGTTAAATGCAGCTATGCCATCAGTTATAATCACACTCAAACTGTAGTCCGTTGCAGAGTTTGGAGGCTGCAGACTCGGTAGCGGAACATGGCATTTTTACAGCTGAGAGCGTTATGACATAGTCCTAAAGGATTCTAGAGCTTTCTTTCAGCCTTGCGCTCCTTTGACAGGTAGAAAAACAACTTGAGAAGACCTATCTGTTTCTTTACCCAAGAGACAAACTCCAATGCAATTGTCTCTAGGCACTTAAAACTATAGCTTCAAGAATTAGTGACCCAAAGACTGCCGTGTGTCCTGCAACATAAGTCAAGCTGACACAGTCTCAGGCATGGATCTAGCAAAAGTGTTAAGTGGTATCTATGCAATGATTTGTACTGCACAGTGGTTGAGGCAAAAACAACAACTGGCATTTGGGATGGAAAGACTATATGAAACTTCAAGGAAGGAACACGTTAGGAGGGTTAGAAAAAAGGCTGCAGAACACTTATTCAGGACAGTTTTGTTGTATTTAAAATGAACTAATCTTTGCCTAAGCAGGCTAGGAAGTAAAGGGTTGGATAGTAGAGATTTAATCACCTAGCTCTTGATCTTTGTTGTTAAATCACTTCTCCAAGTACTTCCCCTTGAGAAAAAAATTACCTAATACTTAACTTTTACTCCGGAACACTAGAAGTTATGTAAGAGTAATTTACAAAGGCTAGCAGACAACATCTATTGCTATGAAATAAGTAATCATTATTCCCAGTTTACAGATGGGGAAATTGTCATGGGACTAGACTTCATCCTAAAGATATGGCTGAGCTGCTTAAAACTTTGTGAATTTTATTCCTTTGACGTGACTCTAGGCATATTGCAGCGTAAAACAACTTCCTTTTTATTCTTTGGCTGCCTAACTGCAGCTTAGTTTTACTAATTGAACCCCAGCTGTCCTCTCTGCTGGAGAATATTCTCTTGCAGGAGAGCCAGCATACTTTCTCCAAATACTGTTAAGCTGTTTTTCCTAATGGAGATCTTGGCCTCCATTCTTTTCATTAATATTAAAATAGATCCTGCTGCTAAGAACACGCTGGACGGCCACACATTTCCTGCTTCTGACAACAGACTCAGTACCTAGGAGCTTACAAAGCTGTAAGACACGTGCCTGACCTCAGTGCTTTTTGGAAGAGACCCACATGTGGTTTTCTCTTGGCTTCTCCATGCAATCCCTTATTGCTCCTCCCTTAGCCAGGAAATCCCTTCCCTTGCCAGCAGGAGCCAAAGGAATGTGCTGTTTGTTTACCTTCTCACTTCTTTATCCTACTAACCTTCCCACCCCCCCAGTTCTAATCCTAACAGTCTCAGCTCCACCCTTCATCCTTCTGACAGAATACTACTCAGCTGAGTATTTTCGGATAAAAAGATTGCTGGAAAAAGCTGTTCCTACCAGGGCCCGCTTACTCTGGGTGAGGCCATGGCATTTGGTAAGATTATTTGGGTCTGCCCTCATAGATGTCCTTCTCTGTCTTGGCTGGCTGCTGCTTCGTTCAGCGTTGCTGCATGTCATCACAGTAAGCTACAGGACCCCAGGGAAGAAACAACATTTTTGCCTTTTTGGGGCAGTAAGCTAGGAGGCTGGATGTACCCTATTCTCACTGTTTCCTTGCTGCACACGCTCGAGGAAGTCGGAAGTATCACCACATTGATATCTTCTAGCCTGACCTGCTATCCCAGACTGTTAAATCCATTCTCTTGCTTCCTATCAAGGGTTCTGGCTCTATAAAAGCAAGCGTAAGTGGGCTTTTTGTGGGGGGGGGGGGGGTTGTGTGTGTGTTTTAAAACCCTCTGAAATTCTTCGATCAAAGTGTTTGAGCCGCTTTGAACCCCCCACACACTTAACGTGGTTGATATGGTTGCTAAAGGTAGAAATGTATTTTCTGGGCCTGTAGTCAGCTGCTTTGTTCAATGAGAAAAGCCCTTAAAGCCCACTGTTTCCAGAGTTTTATAATAATTCATATGAGGAAATCCTGTGTTTACAGTAATTACAAAAATTGCCATTTTTGAGACAGTCCCCTCTTTGATCTATTCACACACTTTGTCTTATCTGACTTTAGCCGATTGGCAAGGATTATAGCTCCCTTAAGCAGGGGCTGTCCTTCCCTTTGTTTTGTAGCACGGACACTATCAGTGCTTTCCTAGCTAGCTAAGTGTAGGTTGCGTTTTGTGCTCTCCCAGTGGGATTCTGTTTCTCCGACGGCAACCTGGAAGACTTTATAATGGGGCCGCGTAGGCTTAAGACTTCCTAGAAGCGGGGCTAAATATCAAACCTAAGTGCTTCCAAGAACCCTTTGTGCCTTCCCTTTCTTCCTTTGTAGTGCTGATGAGTCCACCTCTATCAGTTCTGTTTATTTATATTGTCATTCAACTCGGTTGAAAGTCTGGGATAAATACATGTCTAGGAAAGGCTGCAGCAGCTTGCTTTCCTTCCTGTTGTTTCCCCCTTCCCCTTTCTGTTCTGAACTATGCTGAAGAAAAGGATCTGACAACTTTTAGCCTGAGTAGAAAGCTGAGAAAAAGCATGTAAGGGGTGCTCATGCTCCTCCATGTTAGCAATAGATAACCATGTCTCCAGTTGAAGCACTTCAGAAAGCAGAAAAGGCTTCCACCAGCTCTGAGACAGAAACTTTAGTATTAGTTTAAGCATCAGCACACCATGCTTGGGAATAACTGAAGCTGCTCAGGAACTGCTGTGAATCTTTTTGCTGTATTTCTCCAACAGTCTGACATTTTATTCTTCTCTACAGAACAGCCTGCAAGCCTGCCGAGCAGAGGAGTTGCTGGAGACCGCTCTGGGAGCGCATCTGACCGCTGCTGCCACAGGGCCCCTGCCAGCCTGACAAAATGTACTGCCTTCAGTGGTTGCTACCTGTCCTCCTCATACCCAAGCCCCTCAACCCAGCCTTGTGGTTCAGTCACTCAATGTTTATGGGCTTCTACCTGCTCAGTTTCCTCCTGGAACGGAAGCCTTGCACAATTTGTGCCTTGGTCTTCCTGGCAGCCTTATTCCTCATCTGCTACAGCTGCTGGGGGAACTGCTTCTTGTATCACTGCACAGGATCCCAGTTGCCGGAATCAGCTCATGATCCCAGCATAGTGGGCACCTAAAAACCAATAATCTTCCAGTCTGCTGACAGCTCTGATTTTGCTTTTAAAAGAAGGGGGGGCTAGGGAGGAGGGAGGGGGTGTTAGGCATGTGACTGGAGTACAAACAGCCTCTTTCCTGTAACATATGTGTGGACTAGGATGGTAAATTCCTGACCAGCCCTCCCACTCTGCCTGTGAAATTCGACTTGTTTACTGTGTGAACTCTGGCACTGCCACCTGCTTTTTTTTTTTTTCCTCTAGAAAAAGAAATCTTTTTTTTTCCTTCCCATATCATTGGGAATGGACACCAGCCCTCCTAACTGAGAACTGGTGGAGGAAAGCTGTTGCCTCTGTCCAACTGTTGCATGGTGGTGGAGTTCTGTGTCACTCACTGATCTGCGTTAGGCCATGGTGGTCTAACTTAGGGCTCTCAGCCCTCCGATTCTGCTCAAATATACAAGATTCTCTCCATCTTTCTGTTTGCGGGAAGCCAGCCTTCCCACCTTCCTGATCAAGGGAAAGCTCATCCGCTAACAGATGCACTTGTCCAAAAGCTGCTGGAGCCAGAGGCAGTTGAGTCATCTCCTCCTGCTCATCCTGCCAAAGAGAGATGCGTGCACTGCCCAAGTGCATTCTGAACTACTTATGCTCCAAGATCGTAGCCTGAAAACCTCAGTTATGCTGCTGCTTTTACAAAGACTCACATGCAGTGGAGACTGCCTCTTCCCCTCCTAGATTTCTAGGCTTTACTGAGGTATTGACTGTTGGGATAAAGAACGGTTATGGTGCAAGATGCAGGGTTTTCAAAGCCACTCTATAAACCTCACCCCATAAAATTCATGCTAGCTCAAAAGGCTAGGTGTGGGCAGGGCAAGAGAGGAGCCTGAGGTGGAGCATGGCTCGAAGTAGTGAATGACTTCAGCCATTGTCAGTGACAGCCTTTGCAGGCCATGGGTGACAGAAGTTTCTGGTACTACAGAAGGGAGAAGGGAAGAGGCTAGAAGCGCCCGGTGTCTCCTTTTGCCCCTGGCAGAAGGATGTCAGGAAGCCTGGGTGATGGGGGTTAGATCTTACGTGGCCGCTGCTGTGCAGAGTTCCTCACTGCACGCGTCACTTCAGTCTCATAGTGGAGAGCAGCAGCAATGGCTGTTGTTGTCCTGAGAAAGTTTAAGCTATGAGATTGTGAAACTTCCAGAGTATTGTTTGTTCATTGCACAGCTGTTCAAAATGTTTAATAAAGCTTTATAAACTTTGGTCTGTGGACTCCTGCCCAGTGTGATACATTTGCTGCCTATCCCAGATGCCTTAACCCAGCAATCATGTGTTCGCTGCATTGTTCTGTTCTCATCACAGTAACCCCAGAGACTCCCTAGCAAGAGGCAGAGCCTGTTTGTTCTGTAGCTGCCGTTCTGACTTTTCATTAACTGTTTAACCTAGTCCTGGGCAGACTGCGAAGCCTACTAGTGACTCCTAAAAACAAACAGGAGGTAGCTTCTAGTTGTACCACTTGTCTGACAGATTCCTCTTTTCCTTACTGCTTAAGAACTTAAACCACAGAGCCAGGTCCTGAAAGCCTGCTAGTCCCTAACACCAGAAGTAAAAGTGACATCTGCCAGGCGTGTACACTCTGTAAATCCATCCCATGATGTTCTGTCTTCCAGGCCTGTTGCCATGCTGTAGGCAGGAACTGGGCTGTAACTCAGCTACCGGGAGTCAGTCATTCATGGGGTCAGGGTCACGCAGTTGTGTCAGTCCCTTACCCAGCTATAGGCTATGACTGTTTGGGGTGGGGGAGTGGGGGGGGGAAATGCATGATGCAGCCAGAAGCTAGGCTATTGTGTCTAATAGCATCCAGGAGCAACTTACAGAATTGAATGTGCATATGAGAGGAGACTTCTTCTGAGATGGGAGTTGTTTCAAAGAGGTCACGACATGCAGCTCATTTCATTAGATAGCCTGACTGATTTACTAGAGTAGTCTCTTAAGGCAAGTTTGGATCGTTCATAAATCTTTATCAAGATGCATCTTTTTTTGTGGTGCTTTTACCAGGCTGAAGCAACTCCAAGAGACTTGAATATTGTCCCTTTAAAGGTAACTTCCTCTGCTTTGGAGGTTAAAAACACAACCAGCATGAAGGAGTTTCCAACACTTGCAGGAAAGCTACAGGCAAGTCAGGGGGCTCTTTCCTTGGACTGGTAGAGTCCAAATACATTGATACTGAATTCCTCTGCATGAACGTGGGATGTCATAGCATGAACTTTTTGTACTGGCACCTGGGCGCTTTGCTTGCCTAATACCGAGGCACTTCCACCCTTCCGTATACTGTAGGCAGTGTCAACTAGTACAGCCTTTGTGTTTGAAACGCTACTTGCGGTGATCTTTCACGCTCAGCAGTTGTGATCTGCTGGAACTGAAACCATCTTCCTCTACCCCTCCTCTAAGCCTTGGCAACTAAGTCTGAGCTGTCAGGGGTTCAAGGCAGATCAGTGTTAGCATGTTTAAAAAAAACTAATAAGTCATCTAGAATAAACATGACAGACAGCTCTATCACCTGCCAAGGTGAAACATGTCCAAGGAGTTGTCATGATATTAGCTACAGCATAAGGAAAAGAATATAAAGGAAACAGGTTTACTGATACCAGAGGAAGGCCTCTCATTTGCAAGTTATGGCAAGATCGTCGTCTGCCTTGTGAGCAACTTTTAATAAATTTAAGCTAATGCAGTCATTTCTTTTAAGAGTACATTTTTATTGCTAACTAGCCAAGTTCCACTCTACTGCAATTTAAATAAAACCTAGTCACAAAGCCAGACAGTCCTTTTGGATGAGAGCAAGCCCTTACTTCATACATCCAGTTCAATACATACATCTGCAAGACGCACAACTGTAGCCTTTCCCTTCTAAGAGATCCAACTTGAAGGAAAACACTTCAAAGGGGAAAGTTGCCAGTGTAGTGACAAAAGAGATCTCAGCAAGCTGATGCTTAAGAAATTTTTTTTACAGCACTCCCATCCCAAACAAAGAGCACTGATTGATATGCACATAGCACTACCAGAATACCATCTTAAAGTCTTTAGCACACAGAGATACTATCTCCATTTTAAAGATGGAAAATTAAAGTAACTTCATCATGGTCAGACAGAAAGCCTCAGGCGCGGTGGGGAATCCAACCGGCTTTGACATCCCATGCTAATGCCCTGCTCACCAGAGGATCCTTCTCTATAAGGGACCATAAAGAACCAGCCTACAACTGCAAAATAGATCAAACCTGATAGCTTTTGAAAAATATCATCAGAGCTTCACTGCTTGTGCACAGCAAGTTGGATTGAGGCCATACAAACCTGTCTCTGTGCTCTCAGGTAAGCACTTGCTAGCTACACGGAAGTTAACTGAGCAGAGGAAATTTTTGCCACGTTCCCAAAGAGTTGCCCTGCCAGAATGACAATTGAGCACTTCTATCATTTGACACAGGATTACAGAAGAGGTAAGCCAGATAACTTGGGTGGACTATGAACTACTCAGTGATCCTGCATATTGTACCTGAGGCACTAAGGGATCTCTTTTCTGGGAGAGGCAGGGACCTCATACTGCAGGGGCCACACAGATTTGCAGGTGCTCCAGGTGGGTAGTTACACTAGTGATTATTAAAGCACTGGGGTTTAAAACACAGCTGCATGTATCCTGCCAGGTCCTGTCTGGCTCAGACATTGCCCAGAAGGGATTTGGCACAGAACAGGTCTCATAACCTTGTGTTATTATAAAGCATCAGGGAGCAGGAGCTTTAAGCTGTTTCTTTGCCTTTCCATTTGAAGGGAAGATAATTTTCTTTTCTAGGTCACATAACAGACCAGCAACAGAGCAGGGACGGGAAAGGAGAAAGACCAAGCTCAGATGCCTAGAAAAAGAGATGCAACTTAGCTCAAGCAGGCCTTGGGATTCTCACTGCAGCCTCAGGGTCCTGGGGGCTTCTCTCACTCACACCTCCTCACCACCTTCTCTGTGCTTCTGTGCTGCTTGTAACTAGAGCGACTTGGGCACTGCAGGGCTTCCTTGGAGAGAAGGGTTGACCATTACTGTCAGGCTACCATGGCTTTCTGAATTCCAGATCTGCCAGGGTTTCGGTCTCACATCCCCTCATCTCGGGGATGCTTTAGTCAAGTGGCAGTAATCCCAGCTCAACTTGTGTCCAGCTCTGGGGTGGGCTGGACCCATCATCCACCTGCTCATTCATCTCTCCCAGCTGACACCTGTTGGCTAATCTGATCTGCTTTTTGGGCTTTGAAAACTAGGGGGAGGCAAGAGAGAACAGAGCTGTCTTAGAGCCAGCAGGGAAGCTCAAGAGCTCTGCTAGCTTTACTTCCTTCCTCTCCTCTTGACCTTCCCCCAGATGCAGAAAGGTGGTGCTGCCTACCCTCAGGAGAGGCTGGCTCTGCTTCTCCCTGCCTGGTGCTCTTCTCCCAGTTGCAATATTGCTGGGAGATTAGTTCCTCCTGCCTGGATGCTCTCCCTGCTTATACTGATAGAGGCCTGCAGCGCGGCTGGCTGCCTTAATAACACAGGAGCAGCAGAAGGAGAGAGACTGATCCCAGGCAGGAATGTTTTGAGCTAGAAGCACCCAGCAGCCAGGTCAGAGGGAGGCAGCTAAGTCCAGGGGTGCCCTAAGACCTTCAAACTCATCCCCTCATGCAGTTACACTAAGATTGGTCCAGCCAAACCCCGCTGCTCCAGGGAAGCAATCAGTGATGCTTTGGGCCACAGACAGCCCTGTCCTTGCTTGCTGGAGCACATTGATCTTGTGGTCTCTTGTTCCTTGCACAGAAAAAGCATTTTATTTGCCATCAGTGGCTGACAGGAGCTAAGCGGTTCAGCAGGTAAGGACTTCAGCCCTTCCCCCTGGAGCCAAGGGACTGACCCCTGGTGAGAGGGCTTTGCTACATCTCTGAGCAAATGCAAATCCTCTAGTAGCATGACGAGGAAAGACAAACCATCCAGGTGCCACCCAGACCTCACAGAGCAGCACTGGGCACCGTGAGCTTTCACCCGTCCCTGCTGCTGGAGCGGCTGCTTCTTGTTACAGATAGAAAAGACCAAGAGGGCAGAGTCCAAGAGAGCCAGAGGAAGGCTTCACCCCCCTGAGTCAGAGCATGCCAGGAGCATCCTATTTACTCATTGCTACCGATGAGCAGACAGACACAGAGGCTGCTGAAACTCCACCGCTGGAGAGCCCCGAGAGCCTGGTGCTGCGGCACAAAGCAGAGCCCAGAACAGGGCACAGCCCTTCTGCGAACCAGCCCGTGAACAATCGCCTCTCTGCTTCCACACCAAAACCTTTTTTAGTGGGTCTGGGTTACGGGAAAGACCACAGACCCGCAGCGCAGAGCAGGGGCCAGGGTTTGCTCTGGGCGCACGGAGCGGCCCCGGCTGCCTCCCCGCCTACGAGCGGGCGTTTCCCTCCTTCAGCATCTCGGAGACGAGATCAAGAGCCAGGACTCCATGCGCTTCGGGGGCTTTGCACCAAGCTTTGGGGAAAACAAAGGGGACGTTCAGGCCAAGCAACAATCATCCTTGCCTTTTTAGGGGCTCCCTGCCCATGGCCACCCCGAACGGCCCCAGCTTCCTCTGGCGCCCGCCCCATCCCCGCTCCAAGCCTGCCCACGGGGTGGC